ATCCAATATATCCAATATCATTTTCAAAAGTGAAGTAATTAGTTTGTGGTAATAAAACTGAGTGGATTCCAATTCAAAGTGTGATCCGTATACAGCAATTTTGTCACCCCTGCGACTTGTATGCCAATGTAAAAAAATCTTCGAAGACACAAAAACATCACCAGCCAAATAAGAGAATTGTTTATTTACAACGGGGTGGAATTCAAGCTTGTCTTTCATTAGAAAGCACTTGAAACAAATATTAATTAGCACAATGTGGATTTGATAAACCATCTTTCAGTGAGACACTGCTTTGTACATGAGTTGTTATTCATAAGGACTTAAAACCATCATTGCATGTCCAAACAGAGTCACTTCCTGTAAAGGTACTCTGTTCATTGATGTGCATGTACATATCAGCTCAGTCAAACTAATAATGCCGTAAACTTCCAAATATAAGCCCCGGGGCTTTTATTTTTCAAAGGCCGTTTTTGAGGGGCTTGTATTCGGAGGGGCTTACCTATGGAGGGAAATTTGTGTTCCAAATTTGTGTTCCAAATTTGATTGGGCCAGCTTTATAGTTGGAAGTAAATTTACCTTTTTTGCTTTGTTTTACTTTGTATTTGAGGACAATTTTCCAAGTACAAGACCCTGGGGGCTTATATTTGGAGGCGAGATTTAACGGAGGGTTTTTTTGGTTACCAGATTGGGGGGCTTATATTTGGAGGGTCTTACATATGGAGGGGTTTATTTTCGGAATTTTATGGTACCTGAACAGTTTTGCTTTGCAAGCTTTGCTGGGCTGAGTTGTCCAAAAAGTAGATAAATCTATCCACTGGATAAATCTCTACCCAGTGGATAGTGTAATTTGGTAGTTTTAGTAGATATACTTATCAGCTGGATAGCTATTATCCAGTGGATGGGGCTATCCAACATTTGAAGAACTGGGACCTGGTCTATTAGCCTTTGTGTCTTTTGAATGCATTTTATTGATTACTTTACAGTCCAGCAGGCTGGGATTCTGTGAAGAAAATTAACATCCTGAGTGAGCATTTAAAAGTTATTTTGCCAGAGGATGCATTTGATGATCATATTGTTAAACCACAGCTGAGAAAGGTACAATCATGTGATTTAATGTAAATTGTACATTGTCTAATACAAAAAATTATGTATCATGGTGTGTCTTAACATTGTGATGTTTTTCCCTTTGCAGCCCATACAAGACAAAGAAATTATTGCTGAGGATGAACAAACGTTTTTGGCAAAACAACAGGTTGGTTTTTTCGTCATAGCGTATTTAGGTTGTTAGAATGTGTAATACTTTGTATTGGTAAAAATTATAAGTAGCCAGTTTTTTATTTCAGTTGCTCTCAGTTGAAATCAACACATTCTTTGGATGAGTGTTTATTTTTCAAAATGATATCAAAATTGCATGAACCTGTTGAAGCTTTTTGACAAATACACAAGTGCAAACAAATTCCAAATTGAATGAGAAGAGTCATATGATTAGCATTATTTTAATAATATGCATGAAAAAAATTACCAGTGAAAATTAGTGGAAACTGTTTATGACGGCAACCCCCAATCTTGCCTAGAAACTGCCCATTCATACCAGAACCCAATCTTTGGCCACGCTAAGGTTGCAATGAGTTACAGCACCTGATTGGTTGTTTTATTATATATTGTTCTCAACCAATCAGATTCAAGAAATATTATTAAGTGGCAAAAACATGATCAACATGTTAGGAGCTGGGGTGAATAGGTAATCAAACTCCAGTTTGGATATAAGGGTGGTTTGGATCAATACTCGTGCTTATATCCAAACATTGACAAACCACTGGTTAGGGTTAGGGCTAGGGCAAAATGTTGGCTTAGGGGAGGGGTAGGTGGTCAGTTTCCCAGAAACCTGAATTGATTTGGTGGTTTGTCAATGTTTGGATATAAGCATAAGTATAAACAAAACATGCTCCTCACTATAATAGCAATGCAAGCATTAACATAAGCATGAATATAAGAAGGTCATGAGCAGGCGAGAACAGTTGTGAGGATATCAAAACCATGCCTGTGTTCTTCTTATTCTTATGCTGATGCTTATGTCACGACTGTCCTCACTAGAGCATAAGCTTTGTGGTTTGTTTCCAAAATATTAAAACCATGTTTAGAGCAAAATCACATACATGTTAAATTATTGCAGATTTACTCTATTTTGAGGGGCGAGGTCAAAAGCTGTATTGTAACCTGTCCAATGTCACATGATCCTGGAGACTTAACGTTCGTTAAAGACCATTGCTTCCAACAGATTTGTTTTCTTTTCAAATGTCATCGTTATCAAAATCATGCTTGGCTAATCTCTTTTGCAATGCTTTATTTTCTCTTGTGGGGTTAATTGGCAACAGAAAAAATCATTTTGGGACACTCCTTCCTTGTACTATTATCCTGTACTCTTTGAATTACTCTGTTAGAATGCTGCCATATTGAAATGCTGTCAACTCTCTCTAAGACGAACACCTCTGGAACCGGCACAAAGGGCGCTTTCCATTCAACCCAAAATTCCAGAAATTTTGTTTGGTACATCAAATGGAACAGACCATTTCGGTTTGGTCCGATGGGAATATTCGGGAATGAATATTGTTGTCCATTTCGGTCGGTCAGACCGAAATGTCTCTTTCCATTTGACAAAATTCTGTCCCCACTACTGCTCTTTCCTAGCCTGCTTACAAGAACAATGACCAAACGCGCGGTGGCTTGGGTCGGGTCTGTGCAACCGGAATGTACCGTTCCATTGGGCCATTAATAGTAGTGGGGACTAACTGTGATTGGGCATGTGAAATGTCCAAAATCTCAAACCGAAATTTTTGTCGAATGGAAAGCGCCCGAAGTGTCCGCCTAGGAGTGATGTCCGTCTTACAGAGTTAAATAAAGGGAGTAAAGAAAGGCAGGAACCAACGTTACCGAGGAGTCTGTCTTATACAGGTGTCCGTTCAGAAAGAGCTGAATGTAGTGGGCAGAGTTTAAATCGGACAATGTTCTCTGACTTGTTACTTGTGTTGTATCTATAGCAACTGCTACAAAAGATGCCTGCCACAGTATCATCTGGAATAGCAAGGCAACAACCAGTAAGTCACTCATGTCACCTGTTTCTGTTACTCGATTCTGATTTTAATTCTTGCTCAGTTACTGTGTGTAACGTTATAATATATTTATTTTTACAATTATAACTGAGTGATTTCTCAAGCGCTGGTTCCTTGAGAGCTATGTTTGATAAGAGAAGGACGTAATGGTGTTGCAATTTGTTTTTCTACTTCTCACGCATGCGGTTTTCAGAGAAACTACGACGGAAATGGTCGACGAATTGGAGCCACCCGCCTCCTGCTCATGGTTCGGACGTTCCTCCTGAATTGTGAACATTTTGACGTCATTTCTATGGTCAATGAGAGTACATACGATAGAAAATTGTAGTCGATTTGTAAAATATCCGTTATTGACAGAGCGTTTGGTTAATATGGCTGGATATTGGCCAAGTTCAGCTTTGTATTTTTATGGACCGAGTCTAATTCGAGGTCAACAAAAGTGCAGATGAGAACGAGGCCAATACCCAGCTAGTCTCTCTTACAGCCGTGTCGTTGCGTGACAACACTAAAAACGTCTGCAAGGGAGACTAATTTCCAGCCATCGGGAATCGTTATACGTTTCTAGGAACCTGCCCACCTACCCCTCCCCTAAGCCAACATTACTTCTCACTTAGGGCAAAATGTTGGTTAGGGGAGGGGTCAGCGGGTGGGTTGGCAGTTCCCCAGAAACGTATGATCCACTTGGTCAATGAGGGCTTATTATCTGGTCAAGAGAACTTGCCGCTTCTGGCGGGACTATTGGACAAAAGCTTCATACTCTTTTATTTCTATATCAGGATATCACCAAGCCACGTGCCCCTATAAGCCCCAGTGGGAGAAGTACAGACAGAAGATCTTCAGCAGGAATGTCCCCTGTTCCAAGAGGACCAAAGGTAAAAGAGCATTTACTTTAGCCTTTTTTAACTTATACTATTTTCTCGACACATTTTGTTTCGTGACTACATTTTTGAGTGGTTGGGGGAATTGCTTATCCTCATTTCCATCGCCAGTCCTTGGTGACAGAGCGAATCAGATCTACCAGCTTCCCCACGATGCAGTCCCACGTTTCCTTTAAAAGTTGACTCCTTTTACCATGCAAAATTAATTTGAAAACGTTTTAGGTAAGTGTGAAGAACGACGCATTTACGTTTCTTTAATAGTACTCGCTTTTGTGTTGGGTGCTACAACTGGAAAACTGGTCGAAAATTCTCCTTTATCTTATAAATCTTAAAGATCGTCATTGTAGTAGAATTAATTTTGTTTTGGAAACGAGAACCCTGTTAAAACTCCGTCAACTTTCCTTGCGCAACATCAGATGGGGTTTTATAAACATTATTGCCATAGAAGTGTGATGGTCAATTTTGAACCAGACAGTGACATGACACAGGTGGCTTGAAAGGAAAACGCCAAGTTCTCCCAACAGGAGTCGAACGTAGCTCATTACAGGTATGACCTTCAGTTTACTAATCCAAACATACCTGTTTTGAGTGCCGGATCCAGACTTTGAGATAAGGGGGTGGGGGGCTGGTCTCCAAAAAAATTTTTTCCGCCCTTCAGGCCTCAGTTTGGTCTAAAAATAAGGGAAGCGGGCCTTCCCGGCCCCTCCCCCTGGATGCGCCAGTGGTTTTAATGTGTGCTCTGTATTCTTGTATCTGTAGGTTGAAGGCGGTAAACCAGGCCCGGGTGGAGCCGCAAGTGAAGGAGTTTTGGCCAACTTTTTCAACTCGCTCCTTAACAAAAAGAGTGGTGCTGGAGGGGGCCCGGGGAGAGGCGGTACTGCTGTCAGAAGCGATGCGGCGGCTGAGTTGGATCGAATGAACAGAGCCAAGAAAATAGTCACACAAAACAATCCAGCAGCCAGCGATTCATCAGAGTCATCTTAGAAGGTTTAGAATGCTTTATTATAAGCTCATAGTAGATATACGAACTGTCAATCACGGACTTAGCCTTCCGGCGTCTGTGGAATTTATTTTGTACAAAGCTAGGCTATTTTAATTTGGTCCAGATATATTAAAGAAGAGAACAAGAACCAAATGTATTCCACAGGAAGGTAAGGGGGATTATTTCTTAGAGATGAAACTGATGATAGGATATTTCAATAGAAGGTAAAAGTAGCTTCAAACCAAACATTTACTGCTTTAATGGACGAGAGTTAAGTGTGACAGATGAGATATGGTCCGTTGTTGCGACTTGCTTAAACTATTAAAACATTACTGTTGGAACATTGTTGTTGACGCGTATGTTTTCTTGTTTTACCGCAAGAGAAAGAATGTTGCTTAAGAAAGTGAGCTTCCTTGACGAAAGAAAACGTTCTTTTGTCATAATACTCTATGACGCAAAGTTTGCCTCTGAAACAGGTTTATCATTTTGGTCACTTTTTAACAAAAGATGTGTTCGCAATGTTGCAATTCAAAGTAGACAGACTGCAAATTATAGTAGTAGCTTAGCGAGGTCCTAACATCTTCCGTTCCATTAAAAGGCGTGACACATATCAGTGTTTTAGTTACTGCGCTTTTCACAAACATGCGAACTCTAAAGTTCAAAAGGCGCCTTCACAATTGCGTTTTTCGCTGCCGTCAGTCATAATTACGATCACAAGCAACGAACCTGGAAACACAGAAACACACAAAACGGATCGAAATCCACCAATCACAAATCACAAACCTTGACCTTTTGAACCCGTTACTGAGTAAAGTTTTGTTTCCTAAGAGGTCTGTTAAGATGATTGACGGCAGCGAAAAACGCAATCGTCAGTTGGCTTTTGAACTTCAGAATTCGCATGTTTGTGAAAAGCGCAGTAAAGGAAACAAGGTGCTTTGTATTGTCGGCGAAAAAGGCTTCAGTTGTGTGGCGAAAAACCGTCAGCTTCTGGGCGAGTGAAGCAAGTTGATTGAAGAGAGCTGGGTGCTTGATACATAAGTCGCGTATGGAGCTAACCCTTAATTCCCAAGAGTGATCAACTTCAATTTTCTCCTAACGATATCAATGCATAATCAATAGAAACGGTTACGAGAATTAATAAAATGATCACCCACAGGAAAATGCTCTGATCAGTTATCAAATTCTCCCAACTAATTCTTTAAGGAAATGTATGGAGTTCAGAGATTTTTTTAAAAGGTTTAACAGCAACGGTAGTGCCATTTACACACTAACCCCGTTTGCCTGGTAAAATTGTGCTGTAAATTATCGAACATTGGTGCTTTTGTTATAAACAAATGCAGAAAAAAGTTTCGCTTCAGTAGGATTATCTTGACAGTGTAAAGCTTACCTTTACTGAAAGGTATCACACCTTATCTCTTGGACGATGTTTTGAACTTTTTTTCTTTGTATTCGCCACTGGAATATCTCCCATAATGGACATTTACGGCAAACGAGTATTTGTGCCATGTGACAAAGTTTTCCCTTTATTGGTATTAGCTGTTCTATACTTGTAGAAGAAAAAAATCAGTAGTTTCACGTTATTTTCATCCATAAGAATGGTTTCAGAGTGTTTTTATCTGCTCATTATATTTTGAGAAATTTTCAACTCTTGAGTCTACCGTTTGCCTTTCGCCGTAAACATGACTCTAAATTTCTCCAATGTCTTCAGTTTTCCGTGGGACGACTTTAATACCCAGGAGAAATTGAAAACAAAGGTTATCGAACAAGGTGTATTATGGGATATGTGCTAATGGCGAATGGTCCGACTAGCAAGAGGAACATCTAATCACGTGCAAGATCAGTTAAGTGTAAGCTGTACTGATGATCAGTTTTTGAGGCGGTTCTTGAAGCATGATCTCCCATCTCATTCATTGTAACGTGGTTAACATGTCAAAAGATTTTAGGGACTCACGTTTAATCAAAAAAAAAAAAAATTAACTGCCAACTAAGTGATAAACATGACAGACTGTATAGAAATTTTGTGTCTGCCTATTTTGTTTTTACCGGAATGAAGAGAAAAGCATTCTAAGTGTCCTAATTTCTTGAATGTATCATTATTTAAAAATAAGTGAAAGTTTCAAGGATTAAATATTTTAGAGTTCTGATAAAACTGAAAGAAAACTACTTTGACGACGCAGTATAAATTTTTTTTATTCTGAAGCTGTAGATACTTGTTTAAACGAGACAAACTAAAAACGTACTAAATCTTAACCTGGCCTTTCTACGTGCGGTAAAAGAACTGACCAACGGACCAACACGAATCCTTTTGTCACTGCCACTCAGATTTTTCTGTGGTCATGTTCGAAAATTGTCTACTAGGTTATTTACAAAAACAAAAACTGTTGCTGTGCGTGACATTTGCTTAAAAGGGGTAAAAAATTAAGGTTTGCGTGATTACACGTGGAGAAACAGTAACGTTCTACTTCCTAAAATATCGCTTAGGACGCCTTATCAGTTTTTCAGTTCTAGCTTCTTAAGAGGCCAACCATTTGACTTTTCTGAGGTGGGGGTAAAGGTGATTTGTCTTGTGTAAGTTTATATAATTCCTTTTCCTGACATACAACGGTGTGAGGTTTTTTCCAGCATTATACACGATGAACGATATTTTTCAGTATAGGTAATTTTTTTCGCCAGGTATTATTTTCATTGCAACAATTTTTTTTCTCCTCGGAATCAGTCTGCAGAATATTTCTGAAATCACCGACCCCCCCCCCCCCCCCCCCCCACCCCCTCTCTTCTCCCCCCTCCTCACCTTTTCGCACTCCTATACCCTTTTCCTTTCCCTTTCTTCCCCCCTCCATTTTTTTTTTTTTTTTTTTAATAATAAATATAACACTTAACTGACATATTTCTATATTAAACCCCCCCCCCCCCCCCCCCCCCTCAAAAGTCTGCTTGTCGGCCCCTAAATATGCTCTGTGAAGCGTAGACATGTTCTCTAAGGCCCTGTTCGCACTTCGCAAAATTTTGTTTTTTGTGCAAAAAAAAACTCTGTGAACAGGAAGCCATTTCTATTGCAAACGGTTTTTTTTTCAACTATAACCAGAGAATATGTCAAGAATATTTAAAGGCCCACAATTTTTTGTCACCTGACAAAATCCTTTGTTGCTTGACAGCTATCCTTTGTCGGGTCATGTTATTTCGCGAACATCACCAATTAAAGTTGCTTTAATTTACGTTTCTGGTCATACGAACGTTTTCGCGTCTCAGGTGCGAACAAGATTGCAAAAACGAAAAAAGGGTGATCACAAAATTTTCAATTATTTTTCCTAACGCCCAACTCCAATTTTCGTCGTCGTGCGAACCAGGCCTAACTTCTGTTATTTTAGGGGTCGTTGTGAGGAGGAAGCGCGCCTTGTGACTTGGCACATTTTTCAACGTGTCAATTATGTCTATAAACTCTAACAATTTGTGTACCCGTTGACAAATATAGATAGTAGACTGTCCGCGACAGAAATCGGCAATAGTATTGGATTATTGAATGCTATTATATAACTGTTGAGCGATTGTAGAAGTAGACTATTTATTGTAATTCTATGTATAGTGTTTAAATCTGTCAAATGTAACTATAACAGAAACCTGGAAACTGACTAATAAACCCCTTGAAATGTTTTCACTGTTTCGATTTATAAATCTTGTAACTCTTTGAACCCTTAACCCGCTTCTCTCCTCTGGTCCAAACTGAACAAAGTCACAAGCGACACAAGAAATTGGAATTTCATTTTGCAAATGAAAGTTCTACCAAAGAGGTGTTTACTAGATATTTTTTTTCGATTATCTCACTTCTTAAAATGGGCATTTTTATGGTCAAAAAACGCCTGATTAGTCTCGCTTGCGTAAGCAGCGAGACTCATAATCTGCAACGCGTTTTTCGCCCCGGGGGGAGGGGTAGTCCCTTATATAGGCTAAACAGGTATGTGCCGCGCCAAACGGTATGTTTTTTAACCGTTTTAGTCTGAAATAGGGTATCAATTTCAACCATTTTGGTCTGAAATAGGGTATGGTTTGTGCACTCTAGTTTTGAATTGGGTTGCTTTTTAGAAGAATTAGTTACTTCTTCATCATTTGGCGATAAGACCATTTCCCCTTTAATGTTTACGCCAACTACCGTGTTCGTGCCGTAACAGCTTGTCACGTGCTCCAGTCACGCGCCGGGCGCCAGGCCTTCTGGTCTGAAATAGGGTATCAAATTTTTGATCAGGTCTGAAATAGGGTAGGGAAAAATCACAGAAATAGTCTGAAACGGGGTAAGGGTTTAGGAAAGCGTGCCGCACACCCCCACCCAATTTTTCTGGAAGTACCCCCCCGGAATTTTTGATTGTATTTAGGACACAAAAGGGCGGTTATTGTGCCAGGCGTTCCTTGCGGAGACCGTGGAAACTGGGACTAAGAATCGCTGCGTGATCGAAGACACGCATGTTTTGCGAAGAAAGCTTAGGAAAGATTAAATTTGGAGCTTTTTCTGAAACGTGTCGGCCCACGAATTCTATCGCTTGAAAGCGTTGATTACTTTGGAACAAGTGAACACTACTGAGTGGTCAAACAAAAAATAAGAATCTTAATGAGCAAAATTGCGATGGTTGAGTGTTGTAAACTTTCACTGTATGCAAATGATCTTGTGATGAGCATGCGATTTATTTTAGACGGTGATTGAAATGACGTGCCATGTAAATCACTTTCGATATCTGGCAATGATGTAATTTGTCTGGAATCGAAGCCCTTAAATTTCCGTGTATTTATACACGCGTATAGGCAGCTGCCGCAGAGGACAGCACGCAACTTTATCGTTATAAGTCTATTTTGTTTTGAGAAATAAGATGAGGAAAATTGAAATTTTTGAACAATATCAGTAGACCTGAAAGGGAGTTGATCCAGGCGGAACGTGAGCTCTGAGCTATTTTCTAAATTGCTGGCATTTACAACGTCTACAGTTGAATTAAAGTTGCTCTTCTTTTACTGTAACCCAAAACGTATCAACCAAAGAAACTAGAGGCAAACCTATCAGACGGATATTCTGGTTTATTAATTAAACTCCCGAAAATATTTTACAGACCGTTCAGAAACAAAATGAAAACTACGTGGAGAGGGAGGAGATTGGCCAGTTTGCTATAATATCTCCCCCTAACACCAGCACATGATCACATACTCTCCTTAATCGAACTAATCGCTCGCCAATTCACACGGTGTCTCAATGTTGGTTCATTCTTTATTTCATTATACAGCCTGTTGATATTTATTCTTTCGAGGACCGCTTCTCTTTTGTTGATCTCTTCTTTCGTCGTCGTCTGCGTTTGCTACTGTCTTTCTGCAAGTCCACGGCGTTTGCCTCATCCGGAATGCACTCTTCCGAAATACCGATACTTGTAAACGTTGTCGCAAGTGTCGTCATCGACGAAAATGTGAGAGGTTACCACCTCGCAGGCTTGCTGGTTTTTTAATTGTCCATTGACTTTTTTAAGGGTGTTTTCTGCTATCCCCTCCCATAGTCTGTCTGATGTGAGCCCTCCAGGAATCTTGGGACACGTAACGTGATCATCACGACCCCAAAATGCCTTTGTAACAGTGATGAGCTCGTATTGTTTGCACTGTACTCAGCCCTTTTCTCCTTAACAGATAACAGTAAAGTTCTGCAAGGAAAATAGAGCACTCTAATAAACAACTACCTCACGTCCAGGATATAAATATATCCAAAAGAAATAAACTTTTACGAAACACAACCCAACATTTTTAAGAAATAACTTCGGGTTGGGTTTAAGACCCTAACCCTAACCCTAACCCTAACCCTAACCCTAACCCTAGGGTTAGGGTTAGGGTTGGGGTTAGGGTTAGGGTTTGGGTTTGGGTTTAGGGTTAGGGTTAGGGCTAGGGTCAGGGTTAGGGGTCAGGGTCAGGGTTAACGCTTTAATGTTAGCTTTTTTATATTACGATGTTTTAGAAAACTAACTTAGAAAACTAAGTTAACTTGACGATGAAATGAAGAAGTAACAAGTGATTATATACTTTCGATTACCATGCGTATATTTTTTTAATGGGAATTTTAATACAGCTGTACGATTTAGAACAAATTTTAACAAAAGGAAAAATACTGAATTACTATACGCGAACTCAGAAATTCTTACCAGTAATGAAAGCTTAAGATTCATTGAATCGAATAAAGAACAAGCCAAAAATAGGGGGAAACTATACTTTTAAGATCTGTACAGCATCTCCAGATACAACAACTGATTTACTTGTAGGAACCAGTAAAACTTTTGTACTAAAGTGAACTAGCAACAATAGACCTAATAACACTTGCGAAAATTGACGCCAAGCAAATTAATAACGATTACGTAAGGCAAAGCCGAAATTTAAATTACAGAAAAAATACGCATATTTTAAATAAATTAGCAATGCATTGTGTCTTAGTTCTAAGCCTAATTAGTGTGTATCGTATAATAGCATTGTAGAGTTTCTGGAATATTTTATTTTCTGCAAATATCGTCTTTACTGCTATGTATCTACGGTATATGCATATGTATCTACAGTATATGCTATAACACTTAGCCCATGGGCATACAAACAATATTATTACACAGTACACGCTGATTAGGCTTAGGGCCTGTTTACATCAAGGTTGGGGACCTCAGATAGGTGAGGTAACATGTGGCGGGTCACCCCACCTATCATGTAAATGTGATCAAATTAAAATGAGAGATTATATGGACAGGCAGGTTACCCCACCTAAGCTAGCCGGCGTGGCATGGCGGTTTTTCGGTTTGGCGCGCAAAGTAATAAAGGTGAGCGAGAGCAGAGAACCGCGAGCTTTGCCGCTTGTTCGTGTGGGCTTCAAGCGCACTTTTGCGGCTTCACCACTCAGTAGTGTGTCCCACAAAACCACAATTCAACGCAGGCTACACCTAAGTGGGTTACATCACCTAACTGGGGTCCCCCACCTCCATGTAAACAGGCCCTTATTTCAAGAAACAGTGCATTGTTGCACAATATTGCCTGCACAGGCTTGCACAATATGTTTTAATTTAATTTAATTTAACTTCAAAAACTTATAAGGTGCAAATATCTATATAAATATATTCAATGCGCCATAGGGGAAAAAAAACAAAAACAATAATACTACTAATAATAACAATTATGAATGGTTATGATAATAAAAATGATAAAATAAGATGATAATATAGATATAGAATAGAAAAACTAATGGCTAAAAGTTAAAAAGATAAAATCTGTTAGCAAAATCTTAATAAAATCTTTATAATCTAGTAAGCTAAAAATACAATCTTATAATCTAAGTGGTACAAAATGCTTTTTTAAAAAGGTGGGTCTTCAACGTTCTCTTAAAAGTGTCAATTGAAATGGATTCCCTAATAAATCTTGGCACAGCATTCCATAACTTAGGTGCAGCAAACAGAAAGGCCCGTTCACCGAGAGTTGCCTTAGGCTTCACATTCGGATAACTAAGTGGGGTACTGTCGCTAGAACGTCTTAAATTATATT